TCTCTCTCCCTTCCTCTCTGAAATCAATAAAAATATATTAAAAGTAAATAAAATAAGAAAGGGTAGCAGTTTATAATGACTTAAATTTATATCCGTAGGAGAGATAAAAGCATAAAAACAGAAGACAGTGCCCCAAAAACAAGGTGAAACCAAAATGAAATTTTGTTTGCATACATCATGAAATATTCCATTTTAGCATTTCAATTCCAGGACAATATAGTTGAGTTAGCCAATACTTCTTTCCTGTATTTGTGTGACATGCAAAGGATGATTAAACCTACCTGAGAAGTGAACAGGGAAGAAATGTGATCTAGACTGTAGTGGTTATTCTCAGCGCTCACCAGTTGGAAAATGCAGAACTGTTAAAATGTAAGTTGGTAATTTATTACTTGAAATACAACATACTACTTGTCTAAACAAGAGTTTATTAGCATATAGAAACCAATTCTTTAAAAAGTATGGCCAAATACACAATAACATTTATCATCTTAACAATTTTTAAGTGTACAGTTCAATAGTATTAAGCACATTTACATTATTGTGCACCTGATCCCTCAAACATTTTTCATCTTACAAAACCAAAAACTCTGTACCTATTAAACACTTCCCATTCTCCTCTCCCACTAGCTCTTGGTAGCCTCCACTATATTTCCTATCAATATGACTTTGACTACTGTAGGCATTTTATATAAGTAGAATCTTAACAGTATTCGTCTTTTTGTGACTGGCTTATTTTACTTGTCCTTAAGGTTTACCCATATTGTAATATTTATCATAACTTTTTTTTTTTTAACTAAAATGTATTTATTCTATAGTAAAGTAAAAGCATTTTTGTCTTAGTTAAGCAAAATACAAATAACTTAATTGCTGCTATTGTAATTCAAAAAAGTATAAAACAGTATAAAAACACAGTAAGTTACATAGCAATGAATGGTTCATGTCACCTGTGTTTACTTTAAAGCCTTGTTTATGAAAACTTTTACAAAATGTGATATAAAAACTTACAACTTTGAAAGAAAATATTTACATTGATTTTTCGGATGTGGTATGCCTTTAACTATTCTACCAGTATTTCATCATAATAAAATTCTTGCCACTTCAATTCCTGGTCAGGGCACATGCCCAGGTTGTGGGCTCGATCCCTGGTTAAAAGTGGGGGTGCAGGAGGCAGCTGATTGATATTTTTCTCTCTCTCTCGCCCTTCTTTTCTCAAATCAATTAAAATATATTAAATTAAAAAATAATGAAGTGTGGTATAAGAGACCAACAGGAATGAGGACGGCACCCAGGCAGGGCCGCAGCCAGCATGGGAATCAGCTCTAGCACAGTGAGGACAAACCTTACTGGAATGCTGTTAACATTAAATGGATTGGGGAAAAAGAAGATATATGTAAAACTTTAGACAAAAAAAAAAAAAGAAACCCTTTAAAAAAAATGCTTTCTTATATTTGAAAAAAAAAAAGATTAAATGGATAATATCTAAAGTGTGAGCTCAGAGTAAGCAGCTCAAGCATTTGTTATTGAACTTAAATGGCCCTAACGCTGTGCCAAACACACAAACCAAATAAATGGCGGTTTATCACACTATTATATCATTGTATTACTTCCTACTTACCTCATTTACATACAACAGCTAGTGTTTAGATGAGCAAAATTATTTCTAAAATTTAATTTCCCGTCAACCACCTATGAACACCTATATCCCTTTCATAACTCCATTTTTTCTCACAGACTTGCAAGTTTGTTTTCTTGTTGGTTTTTGGTTAACTTTTCCTTTCATAGTCCTTTAAACTCTCTACACCCTTTCATCCTGACTTCTCCTGCTTAATCCACACATGAGCACAAAACCCACCATCTCTGCAGAAAGAACAGGAGACATTGAAGCTGACGTGAAGAGCTGAAACAGACTTGATGAGTTCACAGCCACTTTCCCACGTATAGAATCACTTCATACATGTCATGTGTTTCATACCTGTCCTCGTTTTGGTGCATGCATGTAAATCCCCAGATAGAGTCCCATGGCAGGGGAGTAAGCAAGTCGTAATTTGTGTCCAGTCCCAGCAGTGAGCTGAAGGTCTTTTTTCACAGGGACATACTCCAGTATGTTGGCTACCATCAGGCACATTTGGTCCTGCCCAAGTAATAAGTGGCATCAAAGAATATTTAGGTTAAAAAACAAGTCTCCTCCCCCTTTAAAGGAATCATCCATTACATCTAGCACTCTAATTTATGTGCTGAAGGACCATACAGGTGTGTGGGTGTGTGTGTGTGTGTGTGTGTTTGAGGGTTAAGATGAAATTATCTCTTAGTCTGATAGAGATAATTATCAGCTGTTTTGTGAATCTTGGAAACTATTTTACCAACTGCATTTCAAAAGCGTATTTGGCCTGGCTGGTGTGGCTTAGTGGTTGAGCACTGACCCATGCACCATGAAGTCATCAGTTCAATTCTGGGTAGGGCACATGCTTGGGTTGTAGGCTTAATCTCTGGCAGGTGGATGTTGATATGTCTCTCATCAATGTTTCTATCTCTCTCCCTCTCTCTCTCTCTAAAATCAATAAAAACATATATTTTTTTAAAAAAAGCATATTTGTTCATCTTAAGGGAAGGATATACTCTGTACTATTATTTCAACTTTTCTATTATTTCATAATTTTCAAGATATAGATGAAAACTTAGCTGAGAAATGTATGAAAAATGAAACCAAATGAAACTGGAAATGGCCCATAATTTTCAAACTAAGTGATCTGATAATCTAACAGAAGCAGCAAGATTAACTTCAATTATCTTACAATTCACAATCCTTTTTTAACTTACTGTAACTAAAAATGTAGCATTTACCTTATAAGACCACATGCGTAGTTTATGATCCTGGCACAGAGCAAAGATGAAGGCATCATTCTCAACACAATGAACAGCAAGACTGAGGGGACGATCTGAAGACCCCTGATCACCTCTAAAAACGTAAGGCCAAGTTTTACTATCGCAAATCATCTGGTTGTTATAAATCCCAATTTAAGAGATAATGTACAGTTAACTGGAGCAACAGATTGTATGTTGGCATAAGGTCACTACAGTTTCTATTTAATTTACAACCAATGACTATGATAAATTTTAAAAGGCTCTACATAACAATGGAATACTGTTTTAAACATCAAATACTTTCTACTTCTAATATTACATAAAATTGGATTTGGTAAGTCAGGGCAGAGTGCCAAACTGGATGTTGAGAGCATACACAGGAAGCCAGTTTCTGTTGTCAAGGTGTCTAATCCCAAGTTAAGTGGGCTTTGCACTGTGGCTCTCCTCAGATGGAATGTGATGTTGGGCATACTCTGACCCTTTCCAGTACCATTTTTATCTGCCTTGGAGTAAGAATGGAAGCACTAACAGTGCCGAACAGCGCAAAAAGATTAAATTCTTAGGCCTTTTGATTTACCTGCCAGGCACCACTTACCTGATAGCTGTTGGCATCCAGCCTACAAGCAGTCGTTGCATTACTGAACTCTGTTTCAGTTCCACAACTGACGCCATCCCTACAAGGTTGAAAACAGACCAATGATGTATCCAAGCCACCTCCTGACGATACTCAGTGAAACGCAAAGGTGAGAAGGATGCAACTATGAACTAGGTCTTTATAACAGGTGACAGGCTTACACATTTCTATCTAGGGAAATCTTAGGATGTGCTTTCCATGAATATTACACCTAAAATCTTTTGAATCATTATTGGCTCAATAAAAATGACATTTTCAGATTCCTAGGGAAAATTTTTGCCATTTATAAATAGTAACTGATATTGCTCAGAAATACTTCATTCCTCTCAAAAAATCACTGTGGACCTTTCATGTGTTGGGCAGTGCTAAGTGCTACAGATGGAGCAGTAAACAAAATAAAAAACTCCTGCCCTCATGGAATTTACATTCCACTGGGAGGTGGGAGAAGCAAGAGTTAACAAATTAAGTAGAGCATAACAAATTAGAGCAGTAAGAAGCGAAAAATAAAACATGAAAAGGCTATAGTGAATGCTAGGGCGGGTGTGCAACTTTGAAAAGGGTGGTCAGGGAAGGCTTCACCAAGGGGACACTGAGCAAAGACCTAAAGGAACGGAGGGAAGGAGCCAAGCTGGTAGCTGGGGAAAGGTGACTCCAGGCCAAAGGCCTGAGGAATGTATGCCTGGTATGTTCAGGGAATTGTGCGAAGGGAAGCAGCTGATGCTGAGAAGGTGAGGGGGAAAGAAGGTAAATTGAGGCAGATCATTTTATTTTATGTATTAATTTATTATAATTATTCCATTTGTTAAATTGCTTCCTATTTATTAAGACATAGCTTCATCTCTCGATTTCATTTTGGCCTTGAGAACATATTCTCTGAATTGAACAGCAGTGCTGAGAACTTGCTCTTAGGCACAAGATTTGTCTAAACAGCCAAAATAATTTCAAGCATGCTACATGTGAAGACAAAAGTTTTGGAGCAGGGTGGCAAATAACTGTTCATATGGGGATCATTCAGCCAATATTCCAGAGAATCAGCATTTCACGCAACTGTATTCATTTCAATATATTTACTGTATTAACTGTACAACTAAATGCCCTTTTATTTATACACCTTGGTAAGACTTTATAGGAACAAACTGTAGCTCAGAAAGCAAACATTTGTCAGACCAGTGTCAGAAGTAGTTATTACAATAATAGGAGGTCCAAGCAACTTGAATATCGTGAACTATGTATACCACCACTCCCCACAATTTAAAAGTACAAATTGGATCCACTTAAATGTTTGGAATGTAAGAGTTAACAAAACAGACAAGGAGCCCTAAAAATGTTTTTACTACAAAGAGTTGAACAAATCCAGGTGTACTGATTATCTCTGCTCTTTCCACCAGGACCATGATGCTGGCACCTGCAGTACTAAACTCCTGAAACCAGTTCCAGACATGGACCCTCTTGCTGCACACCCTGATAATTCAGTGTCATCCAGAATTACACCCCCGTCTGGTTGCTCTTATCAGGGATCTGCAGGGCCTTCTGACACAGGCACAGACTCTTGCTGCCCCTTCTGGACAAGTATAGGTGTTTATTGTGTGCCCTGAATGGCTGTTATTGTTTTTGTTTTGTTTTGTTTGTTGTTGTTTGGAGCAGGGAGGTGTGAGGATCAGTGTGAAGCAAGAAAAGTTAATCACGCCCTTACCAGTTTGGCTCAGTGGATAGAGCGTTGGCCTACAGACTGAAGGGTCCTGGGTTTGATTCCGGTCAAGGGCATGTACCTTGTTTGTGGGCACATCCCCAGTAGGAGTGTGCAGGAGGCAGCTGATTGGTGTTTCTCTCTCATCGATGTTTCTAACTCTCTATCCCTCTCCCTTCCTCTCTGTAAAAAATCAATAAAATATATTTTTTTTTAAAAGGGAAAGTTAATCACTATAGCTGCACTGTCCAATATGGTAGCTTCTGACCATATTGTGACTATTTAACTTAAACATAAATTAAAATAAGATAAATTTAAAAATTTAGTTCTTCAGTTGTGCTAGCCCTGTTTCTAGTCCTTGACAAGCACATGTAGCTAGTGGCTATCATATTAGACAGCAAAGACATGGAACATTTCTATTATCATAGAAAGTTCTTTTATACAGCGCTACACTTTAGTATGTTACTAACCCTTCTGGTAATCTATCCTCCTGGCTCAAATTTTTTTACCATTTATATAGATAACAGTTTATATTCTGCCTAGCATCTTTTTCCTTCACTGTGTCTCAAGAGACCATCACATTTATGAGCAGCTAATGCTTTTACACTCTCCTCTGTATGAAGTTTGTTCTTAATATTACCTTGGATGCTAATTAAGAGGGGTTTGGAAGTGGGAACACATTGGCACTGTTAAAGCTAATGGCTTAATCCTTTAGCACAGGAGACAACTTCCGGAGCTTGTTTGAAAAAATGTTTATTGGCGTGTAGGGACTGCTCTCTTTCATTATCCATGAGCATTGCCTATTCTGCTGTCCTTAGGAACTCTGCCACCTATATGTCCTTCCAGTAACTGACTCTTAGAAAATGTTCCCAGGTCTTAGCATTTGTCAGGAAAGTAAACTGCTAATAAAAGAGAGAGGTTCACCCGGCTGATGTGACTCAGTGTTAAGCACTGACCCATGAACCAAGAGGTCACTGGTTCAATTCCTGGTTTCAGGCTCAATCCCTACAAGCCAAGCAGTGAAGATGTCCTTTAGAAGATGGAACGACAAGGAAATCCTAGAACCTCCAGAAAAAAAAATACATCTCTGCCAACACTAATTTAGTCCAGGTATGACCCAGGTTGGCCTTCTAAGCTACAGATTTGTAGGACAATAAATTTGTGTTGTTTTAAGCTACTAAGTTTGTGAAAATTTGTTACAGCGGCCATAGAAAACTAATTCAGTTAAGATGCTTCTTTCTCTTTGATTTCTTAAAAGGGATGTGTCCATCCGTTAAACTTAGGACTCCCAACCATCACCAAATATTCAATTGTCTGTGGAGAGTACAATGTTGACAGAAGTGAATGCCAAAGGAAAATTTGGAATTTTACTCAAAGGAAAGCTTCTCCATCATTTCTAAATAGTGTTTCACATCCTACTTCCAGTGATTTGCTTACTCAAGAAAATTAACTGTCTACTTAAAGTTCTCTGTGGGTGTGGGTGTGGGAACTTGGTGCCATGTAAACATTTATTTGCTGCCATCCCTCTCCCACGGTCAAGCACCAGTTTTGCACATGGGATTATATAATTGAGAATTAGTAAATGCAATTTAAAGAGCCATGAATAACAGGCTAATTGTTGACCAGTAGTTCTATTGGATTTCTTTCTAAAGCAGCTTTCCCCTCTGCTCCTAGCTCAAGTTAATCAGGCTCTTCCTTTTGTATTTATCATAAGTCCTTGAAGTATTTCTCCAGACTCCAGTAGTCACTCACTGGTATGACAATTTTCGCTGGAAAGCTGGAATCTGATGCTTTTGCCACAGGACAGGGAAGGGAGCTAGGCAGACCTGGTTGTATTATATTATTTTCTTAGCCCCTGGAGAGAAGAGAGAACTCATAAACAAGGAGAACTGGTTTCCCAAGATAGCTACTTATCAGAGAGAAAGAATCTGATCATTAAAACAGACTGGTTAAATTTTAAATGAGAAATTTCTTCATAGGGTGGCATACTGTACTACTAGATGATGCCTCAGATCTCTTACAGCAGAAAAATTCTTAGACTAACTCTGATCATCAGAAAATCATGCATTTCATGACATCATTCTGGCAGCCTATACCTTCCACCATATAGTCCTCCCTTTTCCCACACCTCACGGTCAGAGCAGGACTGCTTCACACTACTGCTAATCCAGGAGTCCTTTCTTAGTTCCTTTTATCGCTGCTCACGTTTGTAAATATCTTCCCTTCTTTTGATAAAATCTACCAGGCACCTGACTGGTAAAAACCTCTAGCCTATACTCATGGAATTAGTGTAATAAGTAACTAGCCTGTCTGCAGGCACTCATAGATTTCCTATGGATAACTTCCTTCAACCTAACCCAATCAGAAGCCAGGTGGCAAGAGAGGTGGGTGATTCGAGCATAGAAGTCAGCCTCCCATAGCAAGGGGTAGGGCAGAAAAGTAATAAATGGATTCAAGAAGGTGGAAATTAGAGAATAGCTGGCACAGGGTTTCTTTGTCAGAACAACCAAAAGTCATCAATTTCTACTATTGTGGCTCTTTGGCCCCTTGAGTGTGGCTCTTCCACAAAATACCGGCTCTTCCACAAAATACCGACTTCTTCATATGGGCCACGAAGTTTCAATCGCACTGTATGTGCGCGCCCGCACATGGTATTTTGTGGAAGAGCCACACTCAAGGTGCCAAAGAGCCGCATGTGGCTCGCAAGACGTGGTTTGCCAACCCCAGTTCTAGGGTAATAAAAAATGTATCTTTCTTTCTATGTGTTAGCTTCAATCCAGGTCTAAATGTTGGCTGAGTACACACATACACACCAAAAAATGTAGTTAAATGAAAACTTATTTTTATTAGGCACAAATTGGATGGTATGGTTTAGATACCAGTGTTTGGTTTTATTTCTATAGTTCACACATACTCACTAAACCAGGTCCTCTCTTATTTTCGCTGCACTTTTCCCACAGTCCTCACTTTCTCATTATGTTTCTGAAGGGCTTCAGTGGAATTTTGTAGTAATCAAATAACTCCACTGTCTTTGTAGCTATCATTTCCCCCCATAAAACTGCAATGACTTCCCCCTCCACCAAGATGTTTTCCAACATCTCACCAGTAAAACCATTTGCAATGAGGTATAATTTTGTTCTAGGGGAATCTGTGCCCAACCTACTACTTAAGACGGTGTTTGCTTTGCCCAGTCCCTAATCTTTGCCTTACTACCTGCTCTCTTAGACCACTTATATTAGTTAAGGTCTTCTGAGAAACAGGTGTCAAAGACAGGAACAGAAGTGCAAGAGATGTATTAGGGAAGGAACAGGATAAGGTGGGAGAACCTTCAGATTAGGATGCAGGTCTGAAGCTGT